CCTCCTCCTCTTCCGACTATCTTCTTTTTCTTTTTTTTTTGTTCCATTCGTCAGTGATAGGTCGCGAGATAAACGACAGGTAAGAAAAAAATAAATAAAAATTGCTCCCTTCTTCTTTTTCTTTTTCTTCTTCTTCTTCTCTCCTCCCCCGCCTCCCCCTCATCTTCTTCTCCTTCCTCTTCTCTCCTCCTCCTCCTCTTCCGCCCTTCTTCTTCTTCTTCTTCTTCTTCTTCTTCTTCTTGTAGGACCGCCGTTGCATCCCGCCGCCATACCTTGCCGCCCTGCCACCGCCGCCATCGTCTTCTTCTTTTTCTTCTTTTTCTTCTTCTTCTTCTTCTTCTTCTTCTATCCTCCTCGTTTGGTAGGTCGCGTGAGACGTTGCAGGTAAAAAAAAAAAAAAAAAAAAAAAAAACCTTCCTCCTTCCCCCCACCCTCCTCCCCTCCTTCTTCTCTTCCTTCCCCCCTCCCTCCCTCCCCCCAACCCCCCCTCATCTTCCATAGTACATCCCTCCCCCCCTCCCGTGTCACCATAGTCCCTCCCTCCCCAACCATCTTGCCATCTCTCCCTCCCTCGCCATCTCGCCATAGTCCGTCCCATCTCCACATCTTGCCATATTCCCTCCCTCCCTCGACATCTCGCCATCCCTCCCTCCCTCCCATACCCACACCTCGTCATAGTACCTCGCCATCTCTCCCTCCCTCCTGTCTCGACATCCATAGTCCCTCCCTCTCTCCCTCGACATCTCGCCATCTCGCCATCCTTCCCTCTCTCCCTCGATCCATCCGTCCATCTTATTCTTTTTCTTTTTCTTTGTTCTTGGTAATTGTTAAGCAGTCTCCCTTCATCCCTTCATCCCTCCTCCTCCTCCTCCTTCTTCTTCTTCTTCTTTTTCTTCTTCTTCTTTTTCTTTTTCTTCTTCTTCTTCTTCTTCTTCTTCTTCTTCTTCTTGTTCTTCTTCTCCGGCGTTGTAACGCAGTCTCCCTCTGTTCGTCCATCCTAGCATTTTATCAAGTGCTTATTGGAAGCGGAGGAGGTGGTTGCAACAGCATGGCCAGCTCCAGCAGGGCAGGGGGTGTTGTTGGTGGAGAAGGAAGCAGGAGGCAATCGGAAAGAGGGGTAGAGGGAAGGACATTGCAAGCTCAAGCGCACCTCCTCGGGGGTGATCGACAAAGTCCCAACGTCGGCTACGGACTCATCCTTGTTCGTCCCACAGCTGGGGGAAAAGCAAACGAAGCTGCAGGGCGAGAAAGACGTGTGGAAGCATGTGGAGCAAGGTCAGGAGGCTGTGCCGAAGGGGCGGGGAGAGTATTGGTTGCGGTGTCGGCTATGCTCGACCATTTACAGGGGCACGAGCACAAGAGCCGTTGAGCATTTCGTCAAATTGTAGAAGCCTTGCCCTTTGAGAACAGGCGAGATATTGCACAAGCTGGTGGCCGAAGGCGCGAAGGTGCTGCCGAAGGACAAGAAGACGCAATACCTTCTGCAAAATTACCGGCAGCTTCACAACATTTCAGCGGGGGGGGCTGCAATCACCGAAGATAACCAAAGTGCGGTTGTACCTCGCGGTTACGAGGAGCCACAACCGTCGGTTGCTGCTGGGAGGGAGCCAGTGAAGGAGGTGGTGCGGCGGGGAAAAGAAATTGCAGCGGCACAGGCGGTGGGAGAAGATGGTGATTCCACCACACGAATAGCTTCACTGCATCAAACGACCACCAAGAGACGGGTTGACAACGCGGCACATAAGAAGTTGGATGTTGCGTGGGCGGAGGCAATGTTCAGAGCCGGAATTGCATTCAATTTTTTGGAGTTCGACACCACCCGACAGTTGCACGACGTGTATCTCGAGGTGGCGAACACTAGACCGGAGGTGAAGTTGCCGTCTTCGAAGCACATACGGACTGTCATGCTCGAGTTCATTTTCATGTGCATTCAAAAGCAAGTGGAGCCTTTGACAAAATGTTGGGATGTCACCGGCTGCACTTTCATCACGGACGGGTCTAACGATCGGAGAGAGCGGCCTGTTATGAACTTCTTAGCGGCGGGGTGGCACGGAGTTGTTCTAGTGGCGACGGTGTACATGGATGGCAAGAAGAAGACAGGAGCAGCGTTGGCCAAACTATGGGAGAAAATAATCAGGGAGATCGGGCTGCAGCGCATTAACGCAATTTGCACCGACAATGCAGAGGTGAACAAGAGAGCAACTCAAATTTTGGAACGACGCACGGACCCTGCGGTTTCAAGGATACCTTGGGTTCCTTGCGCTGCACACTGCTGCAGCTTGCTGCTAAGGGACATCAACAAGTTGGACTGGGTGAAGGGCACTGTGAAGCGGGGCCACACCATCGTCAAATTTATCAGGAATCACCACACAACTAACAGTTTCATGATGAGTTTGGGCTCAACATTGACGCTGTTGCAACCGACTGAGGTCCGTTTGGGGTTGGTGTACCGGATGCTGGAGGGGGTACACAACCGGAGGGCAGTGTTGAAGAACATGGTGGACGTGACGAATGTTGGGAAATGGAAGGCGATGCGGTGTTCGAGCGCGAAGCTGCAAGCGAAAGCGGATCTCGTGTACTTCACACTGCGGAGGGATGCTTGGTGGACGGAGCTAAGGAAGGTGGTGGAGATGATGAAGCTGTTGTATCTCCTACTGCAGAGGATGGACAAGGACGAAACTGCACCGTCGAACCTTGTGGAGTACGACCGACTCATGGAGAGGATGCTGGCGGAGGTTGTGCTGACACCGTAGCAACGAAGTTCTGTGCTAGAGAAGGTGAGGGACCGCATGAAGATGATGTGGCAACCGGTGCACGCGCTGACTTTTCTTCTCGACCCGCGGAGGAGAGACCCGAAGTGGTTGCTGGACCGAAACAGCGCGCTTGTGCAGAACGCGCTGCGTTATTTGCAGAGGCAAATTGGCGGACCTTGAAAGTCCAAGGCGCACGTGGACATTATGAGCGACCTGCGCGAGTTTCACAAGAGACCCACCACATACGACCCCAGGCGGAAGGACAAGAAGATGTGGGAACCGGATGCGGTCACGGATGCTGATACCATCTTGCCGTCGGAGTGGTGGGCAACACATGGTGGCGCTGTGCCGAAGTTGCAGGCCATTGTTATGAAAGTGATGGGCATGTGGAGCATTGCAACTCCGGAGGAGCGTAATTGGTCCTTGATGGACTTGGTGCACTCCAAGCGACAGAATCGGTTGAAGCCCGCGGCCGTGGAGAAGCTTGTGTACATTCATTGGAATATAAATCTGTTGCGGGCAAGCAAGAACTTGAAGGACCATCACTACGTCGATTTGTGGGCGGAGTTCTTCGAGTCTCTTTCGGATCCGGAGGAGGGCGATGATCCTCTTTTGGAGGCGCCCGAGGTGGAGAAGGGGAAAACGGAGGAGGAACAGGTGCGGGAACGGGCCTTAACCAAGTTACCAAAGGGCCGGATTCCGAAGAACCTCGAAGAAGATGAAGAGGAGCACACGAATGACAAGGACTTGGACGACGAGATATGGAAGGGAAAGGCTCCATGGTCTGAAACATCTAGCGAAGGGGAGGCAGAAGCCTCGTCGGACGATGATTTTGAGCTGGGAGCGCGGCCCTCAATCCCGGACACCACATATGTTGGGAGGAGGCGAACAACGCAGTGCCGTGGGGAACGCCCGCCCACAACACCATCTCAAGGGACGGTTAATACAAGTGCACAGTACGACATCCAATCCAATGTTGAGCTAGCTCAGATGGACACCGACATTGACATGGTGCTTCGCCCCGGTCCAATCGACGCGGATGAGGCGGAGGCTGATCGTGCGAAGGCAATGGCTGATGCGGATCGCGAACGGGTGCAAAGGAGAATGAGAGAGGAGGAGGAGCGGCGAACACTTATACTAACCCGTAAAGAAATGGAGAAACAAAAGAAGAAGGTTGGAGAGCATGAACCAAAGCCTGTGCAGGAGACGGGGCAGCAAGAGGAGGAGGAAGAGGAGGAGATGGGCCAGCAACACGAGGAGGAAGAACACGAGATGGCCCACCAGTCGCAGGAAGAAGAAGAGATGGAGGAGGAAGAAGAAGAGGGTTGCATGGACCGACGAGAGGAGGAGATGAAACAAGAGGAAGGGAAGGGCACGAACCAGCAAGAAGAGGGGTCGGATGACCAACATGCGGAACGGGCGGGAGAGAGCAAGGAGGAGCAGCAGCACGACGAGATGGCAAACAACGAGGAGCTGCAGCAACAGCAACAGCATGCACCGACGACCGTGTACAAGTGTGGGAAGAAAACAGCGCAGCCTTCCGGGTCGTCGGAGAATTCCCCCGAATTCCCAGATAACATAGAGGGAAGCCAACACGACAACCTGTGGGTCAGCAGGGTTGGGAGGAAGAGGAAGCCGCCACCTGTCGACGATGTGCCGAGGCCGAAACTTCCACGTGACAGGCCTCGGAAGAACCCGACTGCCGGTCCGGGTACGGAACCGAAAAAAAAAAAACGGAAATGCAAGTCTCGCAGAAAGATTGTCGAGGATGACCCCAATTCCGACAGCTGCAGCGAGCAGTTCGTCGAAGACGAGGGTCACACTGATGACTGACATCGGTGTGTGTGTGTGTTTGTGTGTGTGTGTGTGTGTAGCATGTGCGTGTCACATGAGTTTCGCACGAGCACGACACGTCATACTCGTGCTACTCCGACCAAAAGCCTCGGCACACTGTGAGCAAGAGAAGACGAGGGGGCATCAATCAACATATTACCACAGAAATTATCAAAAACGCAAAACAATCTGCCAGTATAGAAAATACGGAAGAGCACGACAAACATTAAAAACAATTTATTGCAAGCAATTGCCCAGACACATTCATCGGCCCAACTTAGTGAGATTGCAACAAAGGATGATACACCTCCGGAAGAGGTACTCTGGAAAGAAACTCGACTGGCTACAGCGGGAAAATAATTCAATTTAAAGGGAAGACAAAAGACAGGAGCGAGGAAATGGAGGACGGAGAAGAAGGAGACAGAGAGAAAGAGGTGAGGGTACGAAAGAAAGGGAGGGGGGGAGGGGAGAAGGAGAGACGGGAAAAAGGGCACGCGATGTATTCATTGAATCAAGGGGTGAAGAGAGATAGGGGTGCATCCACACGAGAGAAAAGGGGGTAGTCCATACATCCAAAAGCGACCAGAGATCACACCGCGTAGCTTCTTAAGAACAAAATACAATGCCCACCTCGTTCCTCTGCTGTCAAACATTCATGTGGTTCCAAAAAAAGGGAAACGGGAGATGGAGAGAGGGGAGGGGAAGAGGGGAGGGGAAGGGGGAAAGGGTTATACCCCGCTTCAGCTCTATCCTCCAGATCCAGCGCGTTCCTGCACCCGCGTGGATCATCTCGCCGAATTGCGGGAAGGGCATGGCAATTCCCTAAAGCGCTTTTCTGCCCCATGCCACRTGGGGCGTCATCAGARGGGGGGACATCTTCCACGATCTCTGGAAGGCAGGGGGGTGGTGGTGATCGGCGGGGAGGTCGGGTTGCGAGGGGGGGTGCAGTGAGACAGGGATGATGGGGGGTCGTGGGGACGAGTGGTGAGGGCCGGGGCGGGGGGGAGGGGGAGGGGGAGGGGGAGGGGGAAGGAGAGGTCATGCGGAGGGGAGCCGGGAAGGGAGTAGATGAAGTAGAGGAAGGAAAGGAAGGAGAGGCAAAAGAGGAAGGGCAAAAAGGCGCAAGTCGAAGCCTCCGCCATCGGTCTATGCTCCTCGCTATGCTCGTTGCTCAACTAAAGACTACGCCACCCTTCAGCGCCCAATACAAAGAAGAGACAGCGGCAGCTGGCGAGGAAGAGGGTCGCGAAGCAAATGGTGCAGCCGATCAAAAAAGCAAAGCGCCTTGTCGATAAGCATAGAAAAATGCTCTCAGAGAGGCAGGCAACAAGCAGTACGCAGGCTATGGCGAGATTGGGAAGTAAGGCGAGGAGGAGGAGGAGCAAGAACGCGGGGCTTCGCACAGGCGCGGGGGGGTCACGCGGGACAGACCAGGTTCGGCAGGGCAGGTAGAGGCAGTATGCATGACCCTCGGCTGCAGAGTGCTCAGGCACCGGGATACGAACGTAGAACCGGGAGGGTGCCGTTTGCCAGAAACGCTACCACTTCCTCCACCTCCTGCTGCACCACTTCCAAGTCCCAGTCGGCGAAAAAGCCCATGCCACCCATCGTTCTACTCAACCTGCCGCAGCCGCGAAGACCGGGAGCCTCGTTTGCTGTCAGAACCATTAACCGTACGGTGGTCCGATGAATAGAACCCCTTGCGTTCTGTTCTGATATAGTCGCGATGCATGCTTCAAGAATCGTAGCCTTCCGATGCAAGCTATCGACACGTACCTATCCTACGGCCAGAAAGAGGACATTCAAGGGACAAAAAAAGAAAAAAGGGGGAAGAAAAAGAAAAAAGTAAAATGCAAAAAGTGAAGAGCGGACAGGACCACAAAACTAAGACTACTTCACTATATCACGTGCCTACGTACTACCACAGTCTCCGACCTTATTCGTTACGACCTGAGAGCGGGCTGCTCACGCAGTCCTCAGTTAGTCGGTTCTTATTGTCCGGGGGCTTATTCATGAAGCTGGGTCTGTGCTACTCCTACCACCCCCATGGTCCAGAGACAGAGAAAAAAAAGGAAAAAGGAAAAGGGAAAAGGAAAAAGGGAAAAAGAGAAAAAAAGAGAAAAAAAAGGAAAAAGAAAAAAGAAAAAAGAGAAAAGAGAGAGAGAGGAATGCATGCCCCCGTCCAGAGAATCGTCCAGCTCCGAGAGTCTGCATTTCCAGCTCCTTATTGCTTCTCTTCCTCCTTGTTACCTGTATGCATGTGTGTGTGTGTGTGTGTGTGTGTGTGTGTGTGTGTGTGTGAGAGAGAGAGAGAGAGAGAGAGAGAGAGAGAGAGAGAGAGAGAGAG